TGACTAACCAGCCAGACTGATTGCATTTTGTCTGGTGGGTGTTCCACAGCTGCGAACACTTTTGCAACTGATCGTCAATATTCCTAACTTCAGATACAGAAATGATACATGCATGCAAATAGGATAATCACATTCAGTAAATCATAACCTTTCTAATAATATCGCACATGACTCATCTTGCATAAAACATACCTTATTTATGTCTTATTCATATCATAACAATATCTCTATGAAAAATATAGGGTATAGTGTCACACATGGATTAGGGTGTGTTCCAAAACCCCTGCTTGGAAAGGCTGCTGCAGGCCCCCCATCCCTGCCCCAGCAGTCACAGGTGAGTTATCACAGCCCTGCAGCTGCCAGTGATTGTACCTTTTTTTGATGCATTTAATAGAGATATTTCAAGACTCATTTGAATGCCCTGCATTCCATCCCCTCCCCGCGAAGCTTGTCTGCTTTACAGCCCGCAAACAACAGAGCCAAGTGTCCAGGCCATATGTGGGACATACTCACAGCTCATTTTACATGCGCTGCAAACCCTTTGGACCCCAGAGGAGGTAACCGAGGCAAAGGTATTTTGCTCCTCTTCACCCTGTCCCACTGACAGCTGGCAAGCAGCCTGCCATAGCATACAGGAAACCATCTCCCTATGCTCAGCTGTCCCTCCCTGGGCTGACCAGGCTTGTGTATGGTGGGAAGACACTGCCAGCGTTTGGTTGGGTTAGTTTCACTTGGTTACTGACTGCTGGGCCTCAAGGGGGAGTCCCATAGACAGGCAAGAGGCCACACGTTGACTTTCCATCCACACTGCTTTGCTTTCAGGGATGGCTGGAGGTTTCATTCCCATGACTTCATCTGCAAGGTTCTTCCCTCTGACGGGGAGCGAGAACGAACAGCTTGGCTACATCAGTCTGCTGGGAGCTGTGGGCCAAGACAGTGACACGAGAGCTCAAGAATGAGGATTAGATTTCACTGGAGCGTGAAGGAGAGGAAGGGGAAGACTCCAGCTTTCTTTACTCCCCTCCCCCGGTGCCCTTTACATTTCCATGCATCCGTCCCATCTGAGCCTCTTCAAAGGTGCCCAACAACACAGCCCCTAATGTTTAAACTAACTGGTTGATTTATGAGGAAGGGAGACTTAAAAATTGAGTGTTGGTCTCTATCTATGCAGGGTCTGCTTTCAGAATGACCTTTGACCACTATGATACTGCAGAAGGCCACTCCAGTGGTCAGACTGGACTATTCTCATACACCAAGCATGGGTAACAATACTGTCTCAGCACTGTGCTGCAATCAGAACAGGCAAGTACTCTGCAGCCCTTCCACACCGGGCTATGGCATAGCTCAGAGATATCATTACATGTGGATTTGCTGGAGGACTAAACCAATTAGATCTGGCCTTCTGGCAGCCCCTATGACATCATTAATATTGCTCACTGTTTAGGAAAATAACTTGGTCCACATGGCAACAAGCCCAAGTCACCTCCATTAGCCTGCTGAACTGGACTCTAGCAACAGCGTCATCCTGTTGGAAGATTTTAATGATGTCACAGGTGCTATTACCAGACCGTGTCAGCTGGCTCATTCCACCTTGTTGCTCCAGGATGACCAAGTGCCTGACCCTAATGAAGAGGGGTTTGTAGGTCTAGAGATGGCTCCGCTGGTACCCTATGGCACATGGAATTACTCTGCTTGCCAAGCCCACACTGTTTATTGAGCCACCGCTGTAAGGAGCTCTCACTAACATTCAGAATGTAGGAAACGTAGCTAGCCCTTGGCTAATGGTCTCTTGGGAACACCCTACTCTTAGTGTGCCAGGACCATGTCATGGAAGTCACACTTGCAAGCTATATCTTAGCAGAGTGTAAATTCACACACTGAAGCTATGCCTAAAATAGTGGGAGCCATGTGCAGTGCTTAATACAGCTGCTAAGTGTGAGTGAGAGCTACCCATGGATGCCCCAGGATTCCACAGGCACTGAGTGCAGGGAGAAAGAGATGTGCACTCTGGATGGCCATAGTCTGGGTGTGCAGCCCAAGTTGTCCTAGAATGCAGAGGCTGAGGACAATAACTTCTGAGGTAGCCGAGAGTGAGAGAAACAGACCACTGATGTCAAGGAAAAGATTCCCATCAACATCCATGGGATTTGGCTCAGTCCCTTATGGTGCAGCAAGCCAAGAGGATTGAGAAGAGCATAGGACATAAGCAAGGGTGTGGGGAGGACAAAGAACTTGAACTTGGTGTGATAAGAGCCAAGGGGGCAGGGAAGGGAGTCAGAGTAACTGGGGGAAAGATGAGCGTAGCTGCAGTATTTTTGACAGTGTGGAGAGAGAAGAGGGTGGCTGGAAAAGAGGTTACAGTAATCATGGCAGGAGATGGCCAAAGGATGGCCAAGGCTTATAGCAGCAGGGGGAGTGAGGACAGGGCATACTTTGAGCTGACACAGAGCACAGCTGAACAAAGACATTGGTGGGTTTTGATTGCTATGCATTGTTGTCTATTTATCACTGGTCATTATTTATTCCAACATGTTTGGGCTCCAGGTTGTTCATGCACTATTTGACAAGGCACTGTTTGTGTAGTATGATGAGTTACTGTCACAGGATGGCTGGCCCCATTAAATGAAGCAGGTCCAGCGCCTCTGTGCCAGGATAGGTGCCCCAGTTTGGTGAATTAAGAAGGTGGGGTGGCACCTTCTTAATTTCTATAAAGGATCAGGGACAAACAAAGGGACAAGGTCCTTTAAGGAAGCTGTTGGTTTCTGGAGGCAAGGCTGAAGAGCAGCAGAGGGGATTGCCCGTTGAGCTCCCTGAGCCAGGGTAGTAGGGCTGAAGGCAGGAGGAGCAAGGAGGGACTTACCTGGTGATGTGTCCATGCTGGAGAGCTAGGAAAGGATACTGGAACAGGGGGATTGATGGCAGCTCCCCTGCTGAAGAGGCACTCCCAGTCGAGAGGCTGGGGAGTGCAGGTTTCTATGGGAAGAGTGGGCTGGCAGCAGGACAGGAGAAGGCCAGAGATGTGCCTGTGTGTGGTGGCAGATGCCAGAGTGTGGTATATGCTACATTATGGTATATGCTAAGTGTGAGTGAGAGCTACCCATGGATGCCCCAGGATTCCATGGGTAGCTCTCCTAGATCTTGTGAGATTTTAAGGACCACATGCACTGGGGGTGAACCTGGAGGTGAGCCTGATTGGGGCCTTTCATTGTGGATTGTTTATTTTTGTAACAATCTGGCCTCAAGGAGGTATTATTAAGGGAAAAGAGAGCCTGTTGTGCCGGCCTTAGGGCCCAAGAGGGGATGTGGGATTTAATCCTAGTGTTAGTCCCCAGGCCACAAGGGGGTGCTCAAGGATAAGGGGGGACTCATGCACGGTCAAATCAGTCACATGCAGTGGTGGATTAGCCACTGGGACAACGGGACCCATGCCCAGGGGCCCTGGCCAATTGGGGGGCCTTAGAAAAATGGGCACCCCCCTGCACTCCAACCTGCTCTGTCTACCTGGCGCTCCTGCCAGGGAGCAGGGTCGGGGCGTGGGAGCTTGTGCTGCTCCGCCTGCCTGGTGCTCCTGCCAGGGAGTGGGGGAACCTCCTGCGCCCCAACCCAATTTCCCTGGTAGGAACACTGGAGAGGAGGGTGGGAGAGACTGCAGGTGGAAGGGGTGGGGAGGGGCCCCCACTTGCTGTGGCCCAGGGTCTCACAAAGTGGTAATCTGCCTCCGGTCACATGATATGGTTTCTGCTCCCTGATTGGAACAACAAAAAGCTTTGGGGTTCCCCAATATGACTCAGGAGAAATCCTGGTTCTATTGACTTCAGTGGGGCTGGGATCCCACTTTCTATCTCTCTGGAGCCTTTAGAGGCTCCACTCTCTTGCTTCAAGCTAAGCATGTGTTTAAGTGCTTTGCTGATTGGAGCCAGGTGCTCAGCACTTGGCAAGACTGACAGCCAAATGTGCTCACGTGTGGGATGAGCTCCCTGCTCCACAGCCACTGGCAAGCTCTGGCACCAGTATTTTTGGTGTATATTTGATAAAATCCTTCTCTTCCCTGTGTGCTCCTGGGGGACCTGAGCCAGTTATAACCCAAAGCCCATGTGGGTAAGGGAGACTATTGCTTCAGGGTTGGCACTAGACACTTCCATGCCCTAGGCAGGACTGACCCCACATTAGGATGGTTGGGCCAGAGCAAAGTTGTCATGGTAGCTCCAAGCCCTGGCCACTGTTGCTGCCCGGTCAGGAGAGGGGACTCCCTTAAAGGGTAAAGCCCTAGTGTGTCCCAGCTGCTGCAGGAAACTGAGCAGGTTAGAACTCCTCCTATGAGTTCAGCACCCACCAATGTGGCATATCCCTAGGTGCTCATGGTAACTGGAGGCCAGACCTCCCTTCGCTAATGAGTGGAGCAGCCTACACCCATCCTATCCATAGCCAGCGAGGCACTGGCAGCTGGGTGCTCAGGATGGCCCATGGAAGGGCCTGGGGAGCTCAAGGGGGAAATGATGCAGCGCCTCCAGTTAGTAAGTGGTGAAGTCAGCTGTCCTGAGCAGGAATACCTTATGGTCCCGCTGAAGCTTTGCTGAAGAATCACTTGCACAAAGCATACAGAGCCCTGGATGCGGATAGTTCTTCATTGGGCAAACAGGGACCATTGTCCCTCAGGATGAGCTGGTAGCTCCAGCCACTGCAGCCATAGCCAGACACACAGTGAGGGTCACTCAGATCACTGTGGGCTGAAAGGAGTCTAGAGGGTGCTGGCTGGGGATTTCCTTCAATCCCCTCGCTTGTGGCCCTCTCCACGAAAACTGCCTTGTACTTAGTGTGACTGGAGCCTCTGTGCACCTGTCCCTGGGTTCCCAGCTGCCAGTCTCTAGCTCATGGAGCCAGAGGCTGGAAATGGTTGCACCTAACACTTGGAGCCAGGAGGGGGCTCTCTGGCTCCCTGGAGTGCATGCGTGAAGCAGTGCCTATGAGGCGGGGAATTCAAGCTCATTAAAAAGAGTGGATGTAAGCAAGAATATCAGACTGAGACAGCCAAGGTCTGCTGCGCCAGGAGCAGTGCCCACAGAAACCCAGGGAGAGAGAGGGCAGTGCACCAGGCATGGGTGTCTCTCATGAGCCACAGATCCCAGCCAGGGCCAGGCTGGAGTGAGTGCCACCAGCAGAGAAACTGGGCATTCTCCTGGCCCCTCCAGCTGTGAAGGGAAGGAGCACACGAGAGCTGCTGGGCAGAGACCGTATTTACAGCTCCAAAGGCAGCCCAAGAAAGGAGGCAAGCAAGGGGGATAGCCCTCTCCCAGCTGAACTCAGCCCCAGCTGGTGGCTTTTTAAGCCCATGCCCAGACTCTTGGTCCAAGCTCTCACGTGCAGATTGGAGCAGGGAGTACTCTGAAGTACAGGGACATTTCTCTAAGGGATTCTTGAGCCTACACAATGTGTTTTCCCCTCACAAAGTAGGACGCATTGCCCTCTTCTGGGGTCAGGTGGCTCAGCTGTCGAGTACCAGCTGGCTGTTCTGCAAGGGCAACCCATCTCCTGAGCTGGTGCTGATGGGAGGACAGGCCTGACATTGGTGGAGTATCATCTCTTCTCCCAAACTCGCCATTCCTGACGGGACACAGTCTGATTTCTTCTTGCTCTTACGGGCAATGCCTGGCTCTGGGTGGCCATAGAAACTCTGGCTCCCTGAAAGAAAGGACCACCTCTTTGGTGCCCTGTGTTGAAGAATGGCTGGATACCTCCCTGCCAGCCGCTGGCTCCTATTACTGTGTGTGGGATTCCTGGCAGTGGCCTCATGCGTTGGCTCAGTGGGGTCGGAGAAACTTGGAAGCAGAAGAAGCCGGGAGAAGAAATCCCAGTGGAATGAGTATCCCACAAGGCAGGGAAAAAGCAGCATGCCTCTGCCAGCCTCTAACGACCCGGTAAGCACTTACTCTACCAGCACCTAGTTTAAGGGAATTGAGCAAAGATCTAAACTCAGAGCAACCAAAGCAGGAAAGTGGGTGATGCGCAGACAATCTAATTTCTGAGCTGAGTGAATGTGATTGCAAGTAAAATCTACTCAGGGAATTTGAGTTGTGTGATTACTTTTTTTTTTTTATACACACACACACACACACATACACACACACACAGAGTGGGTAGGGATGGTTTTATGATCACTTTTTCACCTTTGGGTGACCACACTTGTTTATTGTCAATGAACAACTGACTTTTGCCACGAGAAAGCATCGAGAATCTAGCACAAACCAAGCGCTCTGAAAGCAAGCCTGCTGGCTCATAAAATGTTAGCAAATGCCCCAAATTTTTCCAGATTTGTCATAAATATTTTGCACAGCAAACATTTTCTCAGCTCTGTTGAAAACATACAACCACAGAGTTTGTCTTGCAGCTTATAGGTTACAGCTGATCAACTGTGTCACATAAAAGAACTGCAGTGGGATTGACCTGTGATCCACCAGATCAGGAGTCTGTCTCCAAGTACAGATACGCCAGAGGCAGGGGCAAGAATCCTCATAATTATGGAGAGACAGTTTCTTCCTTTCCCCAAGCAGTTAGTGACAGCTTATATCCTGAAACATTAGGTTTCAGAGACTTTCTAAAATTTTGTATGTTATCTAATGTCACCACTGATGTTGTTCTGATTAACTGTACAACCGTCTAATCATTTGTTCAATTCAGCTAAGCTCTTGGCCTCACTAATACCTTGTGGCAATGAGTTCCATAGATCAATTGTGCATTATACAAAAAAAATCCTTTGATTGCTTTTTAAATTGGCAGTCTTTCACTTGCAATGACTGTCCCTTTATTCTTATGTTACAAGAAGGTAATCGTGAGTTCCTGGTTGACAAATATCTGTGCTACTTTAAAAACAAATCCAGTGGGCCAAATGCAGGGGTGATGTGCAAAGGTGACTGTGTAAGTAGGTTTGTAGGAGGTTAAGATAATATAATTTAACCTGAGGGGCCAGGAGAAGGTGTAAATTATCCCAACTTAGACTCTAATCCACTACCACCACATTTGCCTCAATAATTTGCCAACCCACATTCCTACATGAGTGCAGACAAGCTCTGAAGGATAAAACTGAATTGCTCTAAGAGGAGCCCTAAACTCCAGCCCTCACATATTCAATCTGTCCTATTGGAGCAGCTGATGGACCAGGAGGCTCAGTCCTTATCCACCCAGAAATCTCTTTCCACTTATCTGCTCAAGCAGTTATTAAAGGTGCTATTGGCAGGGTTAAAGTCTCTCCTGGGCGAGAGGGCAAGAGCAGCGCTGCTCAGGAGAATGAATTTCCCACCCTCATTCCTCCGCTCTCAGATCAGGGGAAAGACGGAAGCTGTGTCCAGTAGTTTATGAATGGGTGGAAAACACATGGCTAGAGATGCCAGCTGTTACTATTTGACCGGGGTATTCTTTTATATCCCATCCGACCCCCGGGGGCCTTCTTTGGCCTCATTACAACAATGCCCACTGCACTGCGCTAGGGAGATACGTAAATGCCTTAAGTTGGGTGAGCTGCATAGCTGGGGGAGCCCAGCTAAGGCAGCTTTGCGAATCAGTCAGCACAGAAACACATTAGCTGCTTAAAAAATGTGTGGACCCTGGGGGCTCTGCCAGCAGGTCCTGCTCAGAGAGTCCAAAGTGCTGCACCAGCAATCTGAAAAGTGCCCCAGCTCACTGTGTATGCAAAAAGCTGTGAGGCTAGCCATACCGATGACTTGGGATCTTCAGGCTATTCCAAATTAGCAGCAGCAGTGCACAGAGCATTTGTTTAAAACACAAGGAACACAACACACTGGAGTCAGTGCAGTGGAGTTTATAGTGCTGCTCCAGGAGTGCACATTAAAAATTCAGATTCCATGATCATTCAGGCCTGTTCTTACCCAAAATTAACTTGCAACAAATCTCAGTGCTGGCCTGTTGGGTATGTAGGCTTGGAAGGATTAGAATTTTATTGGTAAATGTCAATAAATGTTGATTTTTGCCATACACACACAAACCAACAAAAAAGTATTTCCATTGATGATCACTGAAATTTACGGATAGGCAAAGTAAGAAAAATGCTGCTTGAGAAATTATTCGAGTTTTGATTTAAGGATATTCACATTGTATTGTTTGCCATGGGACGTTGACAATTTGTGTTTTAAGAGTTATAAAGCTTTAACATTTGGAATCGCAATGTCTGCTGGCAATAGCAGACACCCCTGCCATAATTTTATGCAAATGTGGACATTTAATGGTTAAAATGGTTAAAAATAAACATTGATATTATAAACTGAGTTCTGGCCCGCCTAATTATACACTTGGGCAATCAGCCTGTGTTACACCTTTTTTCTCGAGCTCTTCTGCTTCTCATTCAATTTGTAAGCATCTAGAGGGTTATAAGAAATAGCCAGCATGGATTTGTCAAGAACAAATCATGCCAAATCAACCTAATTTCCATCTTTGACAGGGTTAGTGGATAGAGGGGACGCTGTAGACATGCTATGTCTTGATTTGTAGTAAGGCTTTTAACACAGTGCCACATGACATGAGCAAACTACAGAAATGCAGTCTAGATTAAATTACCATAAAATGGGTGCACAACTGGTTGAAAGATCACAATCAAAGAGTAGTTATCAATGGTTCACCATCACACTGGGAGGGCGTATCTAGTGGGGTGCTGTAGGGCTCTGTCTTGAGTCTGGTACTAATCAATATTTTAATGGATGACTTGGATAATGGAGTGGAGAGTGTGCTTATAAAATGTATGGGGGACATTAAGATGACACTTTGGAGGACAGGATTAGAATTGAACATGACCTTGACAAATTGGAGAATTGGTCTGAAATCAACAAGATGAAATTCATTAAAGACAAGTGCACAGTACCACACTTAGGAAGAAAAAAAATCAAATGCACAACTACAAAATGGGTAATAACTGGCTAGGTGGTAGTACTGCAAAAAGGGTTATAGTGGATCACAAATTGAATATGAGTTGACTTGTTGGGAAAAATGCTAAAATCAGTCTGGGATTATATAAGCATGAGGGTCATGTAAGACATTGGAGGTAATTGTCTCATTCTACATGGCACTGGTGAGGTTTCAGATGGAGTAGAGTCCAGTTCTGGGCACTACACTTTAGGAAAAATTAGGACAAACTGGACAAGTTTAGGCAACCTGACCCATGAGGAAAAGTTTTAAAAAACTGGGCATGTTTAGTCATGAGAAAAGAAGACTGAGGGCAGATTTGATAACAATCTTCAAATACATTAAGGACTGTTACAAAGAGGACAGGGATCAGTTGTTCTCCATCTCCACTGAAGGTTGGACAAGCAGTAATGAACTTAATTTGCAACAAGGGGTTTTAGGTGAGGTATTAGAAAAAGCTTTCCAACTGTAAGGGTAACTAAGCTCTGGAACAGGCTTCTAAGGGAGGATGTGGAATCCCCATCGTTGCACATTTTTAAGAACAGGTTGGACAAACAACTGTCAGGATGGTCTAGGTATATGTGGTTCTGCCTCAGCGTTGCGGGCTGGACTTGATGACCTCTTGATGTCCCTTCCAGCCCGACATTTGTATTATTATGTTGATCTGTAGATGGTGATATTTTGAAGATGACTTTTGTTCACTTGGAATAGACCGTAGACCATTATTATTTACAATACATATTAAAAAGCACCTCAGCTAGGCTATAGGTGCCTCTGCCACCTATGGAAAGTACATTTGGCTCTGGTTGAATTGATTGCCAAGTGCATGACATAAAACTACACAAAACTTATTTGTCAGGCCCATGGTTTTCCCATGAGGATGGGAGTTTTTAGGCAGTTATTTCATAGATTTCAAAGCCCAAAGGGACTAATTTATTATGATCTCCTGTATATCACAGACCATTAAACCTCCCCTAGATACCCATGTATTGAACCCAATGACTTTAGTTAGACTAAAGTGGTTTAGTCCTCAGGAGACTAACCTGCTGTGTGCAGAGAACAGGAGAGCCCCAGCTGCCACCAGTGCCATAGGCCTCCACAGTTGCAGGGAATTGATTAGGTGAGATATGCCTTTTAAGTAACTGGACATGTCATTCCTTGGCTGGCAGTTTTCTAGCCATGCTGTATTGTCAACCCCTTTAGGGAGCAACCTTCCCTCTAAGACCACTGACATTGGCCAGCAGCTAACAGTGCCTTCTCCACTTGGGCTTCCATTGGTCCCCTCCTTTGGGTGTATGGAGGGATTCTACACTACTAGCGGAAGTGACTGGCCTCCTTGGGATGGCTATCTGGAAGTCCAGCCTGCATCTCCCACTGGTGTACAATTCCCTTGCTAATGAGCAGGTGGAGAGACATGGTAAGTACAGCAAATGGAAGATATCTAGCTGCTCCTGCACTGTCCCAGCACCTTCCCACATCACCCTCGTGTGGTAGAGATGGGGGAGTTGGGGCAAAAGAAAAGTTCAATGGCTGGCCCAAGGGCACACAAGAAGTGCCTGGTAGTGCTGAGATGGCACCTAGTTCTTTGGATGTTTATTCTGTGGATTTTTGTACTCTCTGCTTGAAGCCTAATAAACTCCAACATGCCTGGGGAAATAACACACATGCAATGTGAGAAGGGACTTAGAAGTGACAATGGGCAGCAAGTTAGATGGCACCAAAGTAGCCCATGCAGTTGTGTATGGAGCTGTCTCTGGTCCAGCTCCTCAGCTGGTATAAACTGAACTAATACTGACTGGAGACTCATGCTCTTGCTCTCCAGCCCTGTGAAGGGCAGCAGCATGCTGGGTGACCAGAGCACAGGACTGGGACTCAGGAGATCTTGGATCTAATCCACACAATGCTGGTGGCTTACTGTGTGATCCTGGACAAGTCACACAGCTTCCCTGTGCCTCACTATTCCCATCTGATGGAAATGAAACCTCAGGCATGTTCTCTTCCCTTCAGC